GTGAACTCTGACAGCACTTGAGGGAAGCTGTCGGCCACCGCCACGTTCACAATGACTGTAGCCGAGCGAGAGGGCCGCCCGTTGTCCTCCACGACAACAGTCAGTCTTTGTTTGACACCATCTTTATCAGTCACTTGGCGGACAGTTCGGATTTCTCCATTGTGGAGGCCCACTTCGAACAGTGCCCTGTCGGTGGCTTTGTGCACTTTGTAGGAGAGCCAGGCGTTCTGACCGGAGTCCACATCCACGGCCACCACTTTCGTCACCAGATAGCCCACATCGGCTGAACGAGGCACCATTTCGGCCAGTAGCGAGCCGCCCGTCTGCACCGGGTACAGGACTTGAGGGGCGTTGTCGTTCTGGTCCTGAATCAGGATGCGAACGCTCACGTTGCTGCTGAGGGGAGGGGAGCCTCCATCCTGAGCTCTGACTATCAAGTCCAATTGTTTAATTTGTTCATAATCAAATGATCGAACGGCACTGAGAACACCAGTTTCAGAGTTTAAAGAAAGAAAAGTTGAAACCGGACTGCCACTTATCTGTGTGTCCTCTAAAAGGTAAGAGATTCTCGCATTTTGATTCCAATCAGCGTCTCGGGCAGTGACAGCAAATATGGAAGTGCCAGGAGAATTATTCTCTGCAACATAAGCTGAATAAATATTTTTATTGAATAATGGTGCATTGTCATTCACGTCTGATATTTTAAGATGTAACTTGGTTGAGCTAGAAAGTGGAGGTGCTCCCAGATCAGTGGCTGTAATTGTTATGTTATATTCTGAAACTGATTCTCTGTCTAAATATTGATCTGAGATCAAATTGTAATAGTTTGTTAGCGACATTTCCAATTTAAATGGACGTTTTCCATCTATGGAACACGTTATTTGCCCATTTCTGTCAGAATCGATATCTTTTATGTTCAGAACTGCAACTGTTGTACCAGGTGGTGAATCCTCAGACAGAGGACTTGAAAATGACATTATATGAATGACTGGGGCATTGTCATTGATGTCGATAACATCAAGTATAACTTTACTGGTCCCAATTAGCCCACCTTGATCCTTTGCTTCCACTCTCACTTCAAATTTTCTATTTTTTTCATAGTCTATTTGACCAGACACGGAAATCGTGCCAGTATTTTCGTCAATATTAAATATATCTGCTGCACCTCCTTTCATTTTTGACAAACTATATGCGATGCGTCCATTTGAACCACTGTCAGCATCTGTCGCATTTACAGTAATTATACTAGTTCCTTTCATTGTGTTTTCCAGAACAGAGGCTTTGTATTCTGATTGATTAAATATTGGCCGGTTGTCATTTGCATCAAGCACATTTATTTCTATATTTACGGTACCCGATCTCTGTGGTGTTCCTCCATCAACTGCAATTAATTTTAAAGACAAACGGGGCCGTCGCTCTCTGTCTAAAGGCTTCTGCAGCACCATTTCAACATATTTACTCCCATCTGGATTTGCATTCTGATTCAATATAAAATTTTCATTTGGAGACAAAATGTAAGTTTGCAATCCATTTTGCCCCACATCTTGATCCTCTGCAGTTTGTAGTGGAAATTGCACTCCAACTGCAGCAGATTCACTTATTTCGAATATGAGAGCTTTATCTTTGATTGTAAACATGGGAGCGTGATCGTTGATATCCAAAACCTCAACAATTACCCTGTGCAGCTCAATCGGGTTTTCTAAAATGATCTCAAAGCTGAAGCTGCACGGCGTCACATCCCCGCAAAGCTGCTCCCGGTCTATTCTGTCACTGACGACCAGGAGCCCTTTGTCTGTTTTCAGCTCCGCGTACTGGATGCTTTCTCCCGTCACGATGCGTGCCCGCCCTGCACTCATCCTTTTTATAGTCAAACTCAGGTCTTGTGCAACGTTACCAATTACGGAGCCTTTCTTCATTTCCTCGGGAATGGAATAACGAATCTGACCATCCACTGCGGTAAACAAATAAAAAACGAACAAAAGTGATCCCATTTGCTGGCGTGGTCCACAAAACAATCGCCATGTCCAGGGCACGTAGACGAAGCACCTTCGACGCGCCATCTTTGCCACAACAAAGAAATATTTGCTTCCAGCAAATTCAATCACAAATCCACCGTTGAAATATACCCGGTAGATTAAAAACAACAACCACCAAAAATCCCAAACGCTTGGAGGGACGCGCTTACTCTTCTGTGTCCTCAACCTCAAATGAAAAGAGCGAGGTGCTTCACTGCAGCGCAGTCAATCTGGGGTAGACTAAATAGAAGACAAACCTTACATTGACCAACAGCGTCCCTTAGAGTAGAAATGGTGAATGTCACGTCTACATATTCAACTCCTGCACACTAATAATGAGAGTGGAGAAATACATAATAAAAATTAATAACCTCCTCATAAATATTTTCAAATATTTATGCAAAATGAAGACCTCACATAATATATTATAAGAATGTGCAAACGCCAATTAACCATTTTGTATGTTGAGTAATAATTCATAAAGATTTAATAGCCTTTGCAACGTCCAATTGTGACCACAAAGAGGACTTACAGCAGTATTTCGAGTTATATTTGTCTGAATCTGAATATTTTGTCAATAGAATAACCTGACATGTTGTGTACCAGTGTCATCTTTTTTTTACACATTATCATTATCATCATCATCATCAACATCATCATCATCATTATTTATTTATTTCGTTTGAAGTATTTTGCTTTGAAGCCACAATGGAGTAAAAACAAACCAATTAATATGAAATGTACAGGTGCTCGTCAAAAAATTTGAATATCATGAAAAAGTCTATTTTTTTTCAGTAATACGATTCAAAAAGTGAAACTTGTGCAATGCATCCACTCATTCAACAGACTGCTATATTTCCAGTGTTAATTCATTTTAATTTTGAGGATTATATCTGAAAACTAAAAAAAACAAATTCACCATGTTAGAAAATTTGAATAATACTTAAGACTATCCAAGGAAAGCAATTTTAGAAATGTTGGTCAGCCAAGAAGTATGAACATGAAAAGTATGTGCATGTACAGCACTCAATACTTCGTTGGGGCTCCTTTTGCCTGAATTCCTGCAGCAATGTGACCCGGCATGGAATTGATCAGCTCTTCTGCATTGCTGCGTCTGGTGTATCGCGTCTTCCTCTTCACAACAGCTCAGAAATTTTCAATAGGGTTAAGTTCAGGCGAGTTTGCTGGCCAGTCAAGAACAAGAGGACCATGGTCCATACGCAAGGTAGTAATTGTCTTTGACACTGTGTGCAGGCACCAAGTCCCGTTGGAAAATGAAAATCTGTGTCTCCATAAAATTGGTCAGCAGCAGGAAGCATGAAGTGCTCTAAAATTTCCTGGTAGATGGCTGCGCTGACTTTGGACTTCAGGAAACGCAAAAGACCAACACCAGCAGATGATATGGCACCCCAAAGCGTGACTGACTGTGGAAATTTGACACTGGACCGAAAGAAACATGGATTCTGTGACTCCCCTCACTTCGTCAAGACTGTGGACTGTGGTTTCCAAAAGAGATGCAAAATTTGCTTTCATCAGAAAACATGACTTTGGACCACTCAGCAGCGGTCTAGGCCTTTTCTCACTGGCAAGACGCTTCTTGGATGAGCAACTATGAGTGAAGACTTTGAACTTAAATCCGCAAAAATTGCTATGCCATTACCATTTTAGCTTGTTTGTGGTTATAGTTGTCCATAAAAGCTGGGTTGTAATGATTAATTTTCTTCTTTTTTGAGAATGCGTGTTTTAATATTATTATTATTATTATTGGTACGATCGTTTTTTTCCTGTATAAAGTTAAACTATCATCAGTTAATGTTAACATAAAATAGCTACTCATTTAATTTTTTTTACAGCTTAAAATTGGGGTTTGGTCATTGGCAGGTCAGAAAACATTCTAAGAAAAAATATTTTATTTTTATATCTATTGTTTCTTGTATGCAAAATTTAGTTTGTACAGCCAGCAGAGGGAGATTCCAATTCTTGAATTAAAATGTAATTGTCTGTGGTCAGTAGAGGCAACCTGTACTTCTTCAACTCGAAATTCCATCATTCATTTGCACAATTAAGTGTAGTAAGATGTTAAAGACTCTCAGAAACAAATAAGATTACATGAAATTACTCCCTTATCCAAAAATTTACAATTGAACATGATAAAAAAAAATCTAAATAAATAACAATAACAAATTAAGACAAACTACAAGTTTCTAGTGTTTTGTTTAAGCCCAGTTTATCCCAAAATTGTATGATTCAGTCCATGCGAATAACAGGAACCAGGAGCCAAAGGGGCTCGTTCCCTTTGGCTCCTGGATTACAACAGCAGGGTTCAACCATGCAATTAACCCGCCGGTCAATTAAATCGGCGATTTATGGCCCTTCAAACATTGGCCAAACTATTTGGCCAAATGGCCAATTGTTCTTACCTTGATGTACTCTAACTATTGCGAGCAGTTGTAACACTGGTTTCATTTTTTTAATACAAATAAAACGACAATCACCATTTATCCTTAAATATTTATAATGACGTTTTGAGGGATAAAATATAAATCCTATATCTGACAGAATTGTCAAAACCAGTTCCAGAAAGTAAACCCTGCCACAGTTAGTCTTTAGCCAGATGGGTGCTTCTACTCAAGAGATCATTTAACTCAGGTTGAGTGTTGGAGCACCTGTGGCAAAAGAGAAACTGTGGCAAGGTTTACTTTCCGGGATTGGATTTGACATTTCTGTCAGATAGGAAATATGCAGTTTGGTCATCATTTTGATGATGAGGTCATTCCATGAACCTGTTGTTCAAAACAAATAAAAGTTAATTTTTAGAAGAAATGCTGTAAAATGTGCAAGGAAGCGAACTGGATTTCACTCGTTTACACACATTCTAGTCACGGTTTGTATTTTCAAAAATGAATAAACAATAATACACAACAAGAAAAGCAAAATATATCATCCATCTTTCCATCCATCCACTTTCTGATCCGTTTTTCCTCACGAGGGTCGCAGGGCGTGCAGGAGCCAATTCCAGCTGACTTCGGGAACGAAGCGGGGTACACCCTGAACACCCAGTTGCCGGCCAATACCAGTGCACACATAGACAAACAACCATTCACACACACACACGCACACGCACACGCACACACACACACACACACACACACACACACACACACACACACACACACACACACAGACAATCACACGTAGGGACAATTTCGAGTTTTTGGCATACATGTTTTTGGAATGTGGGAGGGAGGAAACCGGAGTACCTGGATAAAACACACGCAGGCACAGATCGAACTTGCAAACTCCACGCAGGAAGGCCAGATCCGGCATTGAAACCTGCACCTCAGCACTGTGAGGCCGACATGCTCAACGGTAGACCAGCGCAAGATAAATTAAAGAAACGTAATAATTATGACACACATTCATTAACTGGTAACAAACACATGACAAAAATTAAAGTCCTGATAACGTCATTATTTAAATGGATTGTGCCATGCAATGCATTCTGGGAACTGTTTTTTTGTTTGTTTGTTTTAAGCAATATATTTACAGTAACTCACGCTATAGTGATGAGGAAGAAGAAACTGGCCGGCTGATGAACAGTGAAGATGCACATTTAATTGAAGTCCATTGAAATGTGATGGGGAGGTGGGTTATTTTTTGCAGTAAATATTTGAAAACTAATTGGACTATTAATCAGTAATCTGTATTTTTTTTCAGCCAAAAATCTGCATCAGCACCGGTCTCAAAAATTCAAAATTGGTCAGGTGCGACTAAACAGCAGTTACATTTAAAGAGCTGAATTTGTGAAAAATGAAGCCAGAAAAAAATCCCCCAAAAGTTTTCGAATTACCAAGGACCAGATTTTGATATTGGACAATTCTGGGTCCAACTTTATGGGCTGTGATTTGTGGGGTTTAGGGGTTTCTCTCTTTGGTGGGATAATTGTTTAATAAGAAAAAAATCACTTTTGTGTGAACAAAATAACAGAGTCAGTGTACAATCAATAAATATTTTGACAACCTATGTTCGAAATGACCAGAATTGTGTTACTTTAAAAAGATCAACCTTTCAGCACCGTAAAAAGCAGCAACAAGTATACAATCCACAAAAGCACTGAAAGTCAACAAATAGAAATTGAATGGTGAAATGTTGAACTCACCATGGTGGACATCTGTGAACAGAGCCCTGATATCTGCTTATTCTCTTGGTTAGTATCGGTCTCAACTCCATCCACACTCACTAAACTTTGACTCATGGCTTGCATATTCTTCATATCACTTTTTCTGGAGTCGGTGGTCCTGCACACCTCGTAATTGTACACGTGCGGGAGAGTCCCCGTCCCCAAAGTATCCGAGTATCGTGGTGGGCAATACGGAATGACAGGCAGGTTGGAGTGGTACAGGACGCGAGACTGTCTCCATCTGTACACTTTGACCGATATGATAAGCAGCAAGCAAGTGATGAAGAGAAAGGATACCACTGCCAGAGCCAAGACTAAGTAAAAAGTCAGCTGGTCATTGTACTCCTTGTCGTGCATGCTCAAGTCAGTGAACTCTGACAGCACTTGAGGGAAGCTGTCGGCCACCGCCACGTTCACAATGACCGTAGCTGAACGAGAGGGCCGCCCGTTGTCCTCCACGACAACAGTCAGCCTTTGTTTGACAGCATCTTTGTCAGTCACTTGGCGGACAGTTCGGATTTCTCCGTTGTGGAGGCCCACTTCAAATAGTGCCCTGTCGGTGGCTTTGTGCACTTTATAGGAGAGCCAGGCGTTCTGACCGGAGTCCACATCCACGGCCACCACTTTCGTCACCAGATAGCCCACATCGGCTGAACGAGGCACCATTTCGGCCAGTAGCGAGCCGCCCGTCTGCACCGGGTACAGGACTTGGGGGGCGTTGTCGTTCTGGTCCTGAATCAGGATGGGGGAGGGGAGCCTCCATCCTGCGCTCTGACGCGGAAGTGGAACTCTTTCAGTTGCTCGTAGTCAAAAGAACGCACTGAATGGATGACTCCACTCTCGGCATTAACAGACACATATGAAGAGACTGGGACTCCGTTAACAGAGGATTCCTCTAGGATGTGTGAAAGACGAGCATTCTGGTTCCAGTCAGCATCACTGGCTTTCAACGTGAGTACGGAGAGACCTGGTGTGTTATTTTCAACAACATAGGCCTCATATGAGCTCCTCTCAAAGACAGGCGAGTTGTCATTCACATCT